TATATATATATATATATATATATATATATGTATGGAAAGAAAGATTCGCTTGCTTTGTTATATAAAAAGGAAGTAAAATTATATCACTGAATGAAAAAAACGATCAGGGGCCACACTACAGCGCACGTTGCTCCCTGTCATCATACAGCAAGGACAATCAGAACAGCCAGGGCCGCCACAAGCGTGTAAGTGAAGTGGTACGCGATGTTAGTCGTACCAGATGCGGGGATGTGATGAGTCACGCTTCGGTGATAGTTTATGTTGCACACCTCCTTGTATGGCGGACACTCGATCGCGCCAGACTTAAACTCTGTACTGTACTCCGAGAGCACAAGAGTGCTTCCGGGTAGGCAGTCCACGAAATCAGTCGCACCCTTCACGCGCACCTGATACTTCGAGGTGCCCTTGACGCACTTCACGTCCGCACAGATAGAGCGCATATTTTTGTCATTTTTTATCTGGAGGGTAGTGTTCGAGACAGCTGAAAAGCATCGTGCAGATTCTGAAAACACAAAACCTGGCAGAAATGTTGCATTTCCATTTCTGCACAAAGAGTCAAAATATTGTATTATGTACGGGCAGTAATCCATAAAATTGTAAACGCCACCGATTTTTGGATTGGAGAAGTACTGGAAATATGTTGGCAAGGTAGTATAAAACCTCACAAGGCAGCTTCCGATGCCCATCCGGTCTGATGCGCATTTATATTCACTTATTGTAAGTAAATCACGGTCACAAAACATCTCCGGCATCTGCGACACACCGTCAATAACGCACTTCTTATCAAACAACATGCAGCCAGCATCGTTACCCCATACCATGTTTTCAGCATTGCGGTAGTTGCCTTTGTAGTAGCCCGTGTCCTCCATCGCCGCGATGGTGAAGGCGGTGTAGAAGTATGAGCCATTAACAGGAGCCATCAATTCATCCTTTGTGTTACGCATCTTCCAGTGTGACCCCGCAGACAGACGACCACCCATATCCTCCAACTCCACGTACTGCATGGTGATGCACCCGTAATGCGCCCTCGCGACTTCCAACACTTTTGGCGAAGATAGAACATAACTTGGTGGCTTACCGCGAACAGACACAGTGTTAATCATATTTTTTTTCTTAAACATTTCAATGCCAAATCCCAACGTGTGCAATATCTCATGAGTCAGGGTACGTTTGGCAGTGTAAATATCCAGAGCGTCTCGAGGCCCAAAATTGGCAACACCCACCAGGGGGCGACCACTGGGGTCTAACTGGCAGTAGATTGCCCACGCAACAATACCAGGTACAGTTGGTCCCGCCGCAACGTACAGCACAAAGTCGGTATCCGGCACACCGGTGGTGTGGTGGGACTGGGGAATCGTAAACAGAGGGCAAACGTCTCCCGTGAAGTTTTCAACACGGATGTTGCCGATGATCGGCTGCACCAGCAGCCGATCCTTGTGCATCTGCACCGCGTTGGGGATTATATGCTTACGCAGTATCCGCTTCTTTTCATCGGTGAGAATGTCATCGGGATTGCATTTAATCATGGAACTTTTGAAGTCAGACTTCATCTCCCCAGGCTGTGTGCAGTAGCGGGAGCTGTTGTCG